AGAACTTCTAATATTTTTCTTCCTATAATCCCCTGGATCATCTTGCCTGCTGGTACAACCCATTTCTGAGACTGTAGGCATACTAGATAAAACATGTTCTTGGGTGTGTAGTGTTCCCACGGTTTCTCTACCACCCCTGCCAAACAAGTGAAAAAAAAAAATGGAGCTCAGTGTGGTGGCATGCACTTGTAGTTCCAGCTACTCTGGAGGATGAGGAAGAAGGATGGCTTTAGCCCAGGAGTTCTGGGCCATAGTGCACTAAGCTGATTGGGTCTCTGCACTAAGTTCAGTGTCAATATAGTGACCTCCCAGGAGTGGGGAACCACCACGTTGTCTAAGCAGGGTGAACCAGCCCAGGTCAGAAATGCATCAGGTCAAAACTCCCCTACTGATCGCTAGTGGGATCATGCCTGTGAATAGACACTGTACTCCAGCCTGGGCAACATAGTCAGACCCCATCTCTTATTTGAAAACAAAAAAACAAAAAAACGAAGAAATGGCTTTCTGTTAAGCCACGTCACCATGGCAACATACTTTGAAAACTTTTACCTCAATAGCTCACTATAACATCTGTATATATGAAAGACAGTTCTATTTCTATGTTCAAATGGGAATGCAAGCACTGGTAAGTAAAATCACCCAACACTAGAAGAGTTTGAAATCAGATTCTATGGTAGCTGATATTTATTTTCATTTCGAGCTCTGACTGCAAAAACTAATTATTGAAAATTTTAAGTCTTGATTTTATTTTCCTGCTTAGCTTAAGCCCTTTTAGACACTGAATGCTAATTAAAAAAAACAAAGAAAAAAGCTTAAGCCCTTTTATGCTAGATCTTTGCTGCTACTGGGTCAATAATTTGGCCTGATTATGTACTAGGTCGTAAGCATTGTCAGAAATCAGGTCAGGCCTTTTGGTACTGACTGAAAAGGATAGTTCACCAGGGACTGTCCACAAAGCACCCTATTCAGTTTTGAGACAGTTGTTGACAACATCCCTTTAATCAAGGATATAAACTAGGGCTGGGCTACAGGCCCCACCTAGTGGCATTTTGAAGAAAAGCAGGTAAAGCTAAAAATACGCACACAGGCAAAAAAAGTCTCCGTGTCACAACTTCCTTGTGAAGATGAGTTACTAGTTATTTCCCTGAAACCCGAATCTGGAGACAGGAGGGTTAGTATGTATGAAATCACTGAAACATTGAAAGCGAAGTCCCTAAGTCAATGATTCTCAATCACTGAAGAATTTATTTAAAACAAAGAGAACCACTTGGTAAGTTTATTTAAAATGCAGATTCTTAGGCCCTGTCCTAAAGCATCTTAGTAGGTATGGGATAGTACTGACTTTAACAGAGACTCCACTTGGAGATAGACTTTTCAAAGTGCATTAGGCATGTTGTAGCTAAGCCATTCTCCACCCCTTCTGCCCCCCATTCGGAATGCAGTCTGCTTATAAAGACTATATATGGGAGGTAGCAGCAAACAATTTGGAGATTAAATGAGATTTCATTCATAGCTACTGATAGGGGACCCACGATTCAGAAGGGATATAGAGATCCTAGATTCCTAACTTCAACGAAGTTGGAGTTAGCCAAGACAGAAGGCCTTTTTTTTTTTTTTTTTAAAACAGACGTGGTCTGGCTGTGTTGCCCAGGCTGGGGTGCAGTGGCTATTCACTGGCCGAATCATAGCCCACTGTGGCCTTGAACTCCTGGGCTCAAGTGATCCTCCTCCTGCTGGGACTGCAGGTGCACAGCATCATGCCCAGCTAGAAGGCTGACTCGTATAAAACCTTTTTAGTTCGAAATAATGACTTCTATTAATATTTTTAAAGAATATTCTTTGGTAAGCTATTCTAATACAGTTTTTAAGATATTTATTCCCTCTTCTAAGATAAAGAGTTTATTCTAAGTATTCTTAAAGTATCTTCTAACTTCCTCCTCTCTTATTACCAATACTAAATGTGAGGGTACTTCTATTTTAATTCACTGAGATAATAAATATGATTCTATAATTCATTATAGAATGAACTTTAATGGCTTTGTCCTTGATCTTACATTAATAGGAGACGAGGGCAATATAAGGAAGTTTACACTTATTTCGAACCTGGTGTCAAGTACTGGGTAGGCTTTTTACATACAGTAAAATTAATGTACTGATACAACTACCTTATGAAGTTAAGTATTCTCTCTACAAAAGAGTAAATGAGGCTCAAAGAGACTCACTGATCTACCCAGGCTCACATAGCTAGTATGTGTTATAATAAGAAATATATATGGTCTTTGTCACAGGTTCCTCACTTGGAGCTCCTAATCTAAAATCTTGGGAATTTCCTGAGTGATACGAGTATCTTATTATTCTTAACAAGCCCCTTTCTACGATCACACCAGAGTTTATACGAATGAGGTTACTCAGGATGGGGCTGCTCACCAGAAAGACCAGGGGATTAGAGGGTTGGAACTTTCAGCCCCACTGT